TATGACGGTATGACAAATATAAAGCACCTGAATGCTGTGTGCATCTGTGCGCTGTATGTGCTGAGAAACCTATATATATATATCGGAGCCCTTGACCAGTAGCGGGATTTCATATGCCTGGGGCCCGGTGCCTCGTTTTGCAAGTTCAGTTGCTGCCGGGTGAAGTGGACAAAGCTCTCAAAAGCGTCCTCTGCACGTGGCCTCTGCGGTCCAGCTTTGGTGACGTACTTCGAAGTGCTGGTGACAGCGCCGGGCATTGACATGTCAATAGTTCATGTCCAGAACCTGTTAGAGGCTGGAGGATATATATATATATGTATTATACATAATTAGATTTTAACAAATAGAGAATGATGAAAGGCATGAGCCGGCTCCTAGACTCCCTTGCAAATCCCGTGAAAGTAGTAAAGTAGTAAGTAGTACCAACTGCGCAGAAAAGGCACTGGCACAAATCAACAAGAGTCATGCGATCGACAAAAAGATATATAGAGCCCTGCTATAGCCCTGTCGACATGTGATGGTATCGCTTCCCAGAAACGACCTGGGCCCCTGCGAGATCAGGCCCAACCGCAGCAAAAGGCGGAGAACGATGCCAACAAGCAGCAAGTCTGCCTGTCGATCACTTGTCAAAACTGTTCTACAGGTTATGATATCGATGTGTCTGTGTCGTTTTGAGTACAAAAAAACAAATAATAATGCAATTAGATGTCAATCAACACGAACATGTGCTGATATTGAATTCTCATGGGCTCAAAGTAGCAAAACTCGTTGTGGGTTCTTCAGATATCTAGGGATCATGTGGACATGTCGTATCAGTGAACTGAAGAGAAACTCTCCATGGCCCTCTTGATGGCCTCTGTGGATATGTCAATCCCTGGCCGCCGAGCCCTCAGCCAAGGATGGCGATCTGAGTTCATGAAGGGATTTGCCATTCTGAAAGGCGACTCCTTCAGAGAAATGTGGCTCACGGGCGGGCGGGAGCCATCAGCACGGATTCTGCAGAAGGTCACAGAATCTGGAGCTTCGGACCATACAGCGGCTCTGCATGCGCCGATCGCCTAACACATGCGGCAACATCAAGCAACCCCTTACTGACTGCGAGTCTTGATCTAGCATCCACTTGCATCCGCATGCAGGGCGCAGCTTTTCTACCGATGCAAATTGGGTTTGGATGGTTTTCCTAAGTGAACAAATGCGCAGCTTGTAGCTCGCCGTGAAAATGTTCATGAAAATCATTGAATTGGAGCCTGGCCAGGTGCCAGGTCTTCATCATCGTCCGATGGTGCGCTTCCATTTGTTGCCATCAGGGAAGACGATGCCAGTGCCATCCCACTTTCCTTCAACGTTGGCAGGACCACCCTTGGAGCTGAAATCGAAGACCAAGGTGTCGGATCCTGGAGTAAATTTGGGCGTGATCCTCCAAGCCGTTGGGCGTCCAGCGCCTAGGCATCCAGGATTTCCATCAGTTCCAATGACCACCATGGGCCCAAAATCTTCCTGCTCGATCTTCCGGGTGCACCCCGGGTGGTTGGGATCGCTGTAGTAGCCGAACCAGTCCGACGGAAACTGTCCGAAGGGAAACTGCTGTGCGGAAACCGGCTCAAGGCTCAAAGAGGCGGTCGCGCCGAGGGCGAGGCCCAAGAAGCTCCTTCGATCCACGGACTTGGGCAAGAGAAAGCTGGCTCCCCTGGAAGGGACAGATGAAGACAAGGGGAAGTAGAGTGATACAGTAATTGTGTCGTTTTTATGGCCGTTTACCCTTTCAAGATCTTTCAAGAGAAATCAGTACAACGTGTGAACATTCCCCTTCAAGTCCCATGACAACCAAAAGTGATTTGTCTGCCTGAGAGTACACAGAACTCCCACCGCTGCAAGCCCAATCTGCAGGAGCCGCGCAGGGCGCCGCCGCTCTGAAGTTGCTGCAAGATGCATGGACGCCATGGCAAGTGAGGTGCTAGGGTGGCAAAAGTGAACCTGAGCCAACCATCATGAAGTCTGTCAACCATGAAGTCTGCAGCTCTGGGGGCTGCCCAACACCAACACGAACTAAGCCAACAATGCCAAACAGCCAAGCGTATGCGATGAAGTCCATCATGCGGCCACACAACTCAAGATTCTGCGAGCAACATCAAAAATCCAACCATCAACAAACCATCCAAAAGAACAAAAAATGAAAATAAATGGCCTCGTTCACAAGGCCCCCTTTTGAAGGGAAGGGAGGCCCTTGATCTTCTTTGGTTTCTTTTATGTTGCATCCACTCCACCTTCACTTCTCCAACCTGCGGTGCGGCCGTACGTGCGGCCTCGGCGACCTTGACTGGAGCTTGGCATCGCTTTCCTTGTAGTAGGGGCCTGATCAGTCGTTCCTTCTGGATGACACTGGAGATCAAACATCAGGTAGATCCCGGTCACACATCCAAACGCCCACTGATTGCTTTGTAGATTTTGTAGGAACTCTTCTCCAACAAACAATTTGCAGGAAAGCCCCGCTGCCTTGAGTGCACGCATCAATCTAACCAGTCCCCACTGATTTGAGATCACCATTGTCTGCGTGCGGGGTGGCGTCAGTCCCTCCAAAAACTCCTCCAACTGGGGCATGATGACTGAAACCAAAAGTTATATCCAAAAGTGGCTTCGGTGGGGAGGAGGGTCTGTGCTTTCGTCGAAACGATCCGCTTGACACCGGACCGGCCGACATGGCCGGTCGCGGTTGAGTCAAGACACCATGGCCGCCATCGATGCTTGGACGGGCTCGCCTGACGTTTTGCAACGAAACCGTCGCCTGAAGCCCTCTATTGTTATTTCATGTTGTATTGGTTCTTTCTCCCAGTATGCCATAGTCTACATAGTGACTTCTCATGATTGGCTTTCAGATGTGCGATTCAGACAATCAGCTGAATTTCAACAGACCAAATCATTTCCAGCGCCTGGCTCTTCGCCAGTTCATCTTCTCGCAGCACTGCGCGGAAGATCTGGCGTCATGCTCCAGCTCCAATCTTGATATCTACTAGCGTAATAATATAAGTATGAATGAAACTGTCCGTTTCCACAGGTGAGCTCACCCGCTTCACAAACAATCACGAAGGTATGTGATTTGGTCAACGAAACGGCACCTGAAGGCCCACTGCAGGGTGCCAAAAGCAAAGCACCAACGGTCAGCTTGAGTTGTCGACTGGATCCAGAAGCTCAATGAGTCCCAACCGACATGATCATTGCGCCTCGAGCACACCATCCGCACCACGAGGGAGCAAGTCTACCAGGAGTGCCTCTGAGATTTTAGGCAACTCTGCTGGCTAAGCTCATCAACGGCTCCAGAAAAGCAAAGGTTCACTGATCCACACCATCTCAGACTCGAAGGTCCTTAAAGAAGCCCTCACTCATCACCCGCACCTGTTGCCAATCAGCCCCACAGGCATCAGCCAACTGGTCATAGAGCTCCTGCATGAGATCCACACCCTCTCGTGCATGCAAATTGCAAAGGAAGCATAAGAAACCTATATACACCAACCTGTAGCGCCATGATGAACTATGGAAGTGTGCACCGCCACGAGGCGCCCTTTTTTTAAGGCCAGGGGGTCAGGCACCTAGGGTAGGCCAACAAGCTAACAAGTAGGGAGCAAGCTACTACGCTTAAGTAGCTTCTTGGGTTGGGAAGAGAAGGGTTCCAGCTTAATGATGTGGTTACTAGATGCTTTTTTGGGGAAACATATGTATATAACTTTAAGCCCCATTTCACAGTAAACTCCGACTCACCAATATTGAAGTGGAACATGGCCCTTTGAACTTTGGAAAGGCATGTTTCTTCTACAAAGGAGTTGTTCACTTCCATGTAGGCGATTCGGAATGTAACCTTCCACTATATAATCGTTGGGATTCGGATCCTCGTCTGCTGGACATACCAACTTGAGCAGGCACTTCCTGCTGAAGAATACGGATCGTTGTGGTGTTACAGCTGATTTCTTAAACTTCCCGAACTTGACAAACCAGCTAGGGTTTTGGAAGGGTTTGGATGTTCCGTGACCCAAAAAACCTCGCATCACAAAACCACGCTCCGAAACAAATGCTTTCGTAGCCACGTCGCCACGACTCCTCAGGTTGATGCGTAGCACCCCTGCGCGGTGCGGTGCGGCTGGTGGCACCGGACTCCTGGCGGTCGATGCGTCTGGTCACCAAAACATCCAAATATTGAACCATTCAACCTATCAAATTGCATCTGCATGACCTAAAAATACAGTTGTTCAAGTTGTTCTTGTGTCATTGAATCTGGTTTCCCCACCTAAAAATACCAACTTTGAGTCCACAATAGATAGTGATCCCCAAAGCCCTCACGTCATGCTTGGTCCAAGCAGATTCTGATGTCTCGGCCAAACCTGGCTCGTTCCGGTCGGTCGAACCCCACGTTCGTCCCTTGGCCTGATCACGAAGCATGGCTACCAAGCGACCCAAAGGCTGGTAAGCGTGCAGCGCCAGGTCTGGCCGTAAAACTGCCACCTTGAATGCGTTTTGGAAATTGGAACGAAAAAGAATTAGCTTTGGATCATGCATTCATTTATTGTGGGTTGAATCTGATTTTAAGATATTTTAAGGGCATGCGCAAATCATATAGCCTTGAAGTTAGCAGCCAAACAAATATGTCAATTGACATCAGTTTCGTCTTTCGGACACCTCACAATGCCTCACATGTTTTGCCCACGGAAACTCACTGCCCGATTCGCAGAGATCCCGTGCCCAACGCGCCAGCAGTGTCGCCAAGGGAACTTCTCGACGTAGTCGAGAGGCAATGGTGGTGCTTGGTGGCCGGCAAGGTGTAACTTTGGTGTTTAGGAAGAGTGTGGCAGGATGGCATCAGACCCAAATATATCGGAAATCCTGAAGCAAAACCGAGTCAGAAGTTTTTTTGATTCCATGCAAACTTGAGGTTGGAATGTATGGGATTCTCGGATGCACGCGATCCGAGCACTGCAAGTTGATTGTCCCACTACATTGCACTGTCGAGTACTTCAGCATGTTTTCTGTTCTGCCGGAGTGCACTGGATGGATGATAAGGAAATGAATCCGAGCAAGAGAAGTTGAGAATCGCAAGAGTGCCCTCAACCTCAACCAACTGCTTGAGCTGAACCACAACCATCCACAACCACAAATAGGAGGAAGAGTTTTCAGGTGGTGAGAAGCACGTTCTCTGGTGCCTCACAAGGCTCCCGAAGGCCCGAAGCCTTCCCATTAAATTAAACCGGAAGCTTTCCAGTGCACCAACATGGCATCAGGAGTCGACCGCCGGGCTTAGTGCACAAAATGTAACAAATCCACGACGCAATCGACGCACTTTTTCAGCGATTCGTGCGCACGGCCACGTTCTCACAATCCTGCTGACTACAACAGAATCGTCGGGTTTTGAGGATCTAATGGCATCACCGGATCCGGCACACGGTACGGTGGAACCTCATTGTTCTGGATCTTTCTAGTCCATTCACGATGCCGCTCCGCCCACAAATAGGTCATCTTCTTGAACTCCTCCTCTTCCGGTGAGGGCCTATCAGGTGGCCGTTGATTCCGGACAGGTGGCCGTTGAGGCGGAGGGATATCAGAGTGGCTGGCAGGAGGACAGTCAGCATGTGTGCCTGTAGCATCAGGTGGTCGTTGATTCCGGACCGGGTGCATGGGCGGAGGGATATCAGAGCTGGCAGCGGGAGGACAGTCAGCATGTCTGGCTGTAGCAGCCTGGCAAGCTGGACTTCGATTCACAATGTCAGGCCCTTCAGAGAACGTCCGCTGGTTTGGGACTGGCTCCGTCTGAAGTGCTGGGGCTCGCGGAGGTGGGCCTCCTGGCAAACGCGGTTTGCCATGTCCGGCTGGCTTTAGACCTCTGGCTTTAAATATATAGTTGTTTACAATATTCATCCCTTACTCTAACCTCTATCTAGCTTTATTGAACCACGGGAACCTTGGTGGTTCAACATCTACTGGCAGTTCTGAGCGCAAGCATCTATTTTGGATGACTAAAGTATTTCCCTCCGCTCTCACACCCAGCCTGGGATCTGCTGTTGGTACATGCTTTCAATCTGGTCCAAGTTGTCGTGCCAAGGAAGAGGACGATCTTGCGCGCAAGCTTTCAACGGCAAAGTCTGGTAGTAGCCCCTCATCAAGTCGGAGTTTCCACGGCGTCCACCATAAGCAGCCAACCAATTCCGCACTTCCCTTCGAGAAGACACCTGTTCCGATTCACATCTCATCATCCAATATTCTGCTTCGTCCAGCGGTGTCAGTCCCTGATGGTCAGCACAATTGGGATCTAAGCCATGCTGAAGCATCAGGCGCATCATCTCAATGCGACCCTCTCTTGCCGCATAATGCAGGGCGGTCTTCCCGCTTTTGTCCGCCCCCACGATGCGCCCTCGAAGTGCCTCGTCAAAGGCTTGGTGGTCGTTGTGAAAGACCGCCTTTCGGAGCTTGTGGTGAGGATCTGCGGGATAGTGCCTGGGACAACTGAGAGCTACTGCCTGACTTTGTGCAAAAGGAAGGACTGCAAGGTCATTTGGAGAGGTGCTAGTCCATTGGCCTGAAGCAACTGCGCCGCTGGAAGGCTGAAGTGTAGGGAGTGGCATAGTCCATGGTAAGGTCACTTCAGCAGTGCCTGCACTCATGACCTGATTGCGAAGAAGAAGCAAGGGTATCAATGTATCCCAGAAAATGTTGCACTGCTCTGAAATCAAGGCCTCTTAGCGGTTGGATGGTTTGGTTCGGGGTCAATTTTGCTACCTTTGTGCTTGCCTATGTCAGTAGCTCGTTCCAAAGCCATGAGGATCTACAATACATACACTATCAAAAAGAAAAAAAACTATCAGTGCACCAAAGCATAACATCAAACCTGCAAAAGAAGCGGTTGAGCTACCGGAATTCCAGGGACAGCTGCATGTTCACGCGCCGTATGCTTCTGAAGCAGTTGTGACTCAGAAGTGTACTTCTTGAATAAGCTGGAGAGGCCTGGAAGCGCTTCCCTGGATAAGTATAGAGTGCTAGTCTTGTTGATGTTCAGCAGCTGCAGATCTGAAAGCAAGCGACCTAAATCTTCCGGCAATGGAGACACCGCGCTGCGCCATTGCTCATCCGAAGGGTCTCTGACCAGCGCCTGGTAGGAGTGAAGGAAGACACGTTTGGCCCACCTCAAGGTCGCTGGGGAGGCCCCATACTTGACGTCACCCACAATGGGATGTCCCAGTTCTGAACAGTGAAATCTGATCTGGTGAGTCCGGCCCGTGATTATCCTCAAGTGCAGCAACGTGTAGGGATTCTTGTAGGAGTCTTCCAGCCAGGCCAGCGGTCTGTACAGCGTGACTGCGCGCTGTCGAAAGCAGCCATTGCGATCATCCCATTCCGGTCCATCCATCCCCCTGTGCCACGCATGGCTTTTTAACTCCACCGGATCATGGAAGAGGGCGATTTCCACCCGCCCTTGCAGGCCTTCCCGGCTCGATCCGTCTGACTCGTGGATCCAGTCAGACGATTTCATCTCCCGTCTCGTTGGGATGTGGACGCGTCCACAAACCAGGGCCAGGTAGTACTTCTCCATCCCGTGACTTTGAAGATTGTGATCACCGTAGAATTGATGCCGGATGTGCCAGTAGGCACCGGTGGTTTTGGCGACAATCATGACTCCGGAGGTCTCCCTGTCCAGTCTGTGGCAACAGCCAGCACAAATGCAAGCACAAGTCTTACAACTGCCGCAGTTACATGGCTCAGTGAGACCTTCCTGTTCTGCCTTTCTCCAAAAATCACGACAACCGACAGCTGTCTCGTGGTCGTACTCCAACGCGACGTACTCATGAATCTGAATGCTTGGGGTATCAAGATCGAGAAGCTTCATTGAGGTCTCTGCTCCAGCACGTGGTGGAAGGCGACTACTTCCATACTGGCACGTGAAATGGCAGGGCTTCTCCAAGTACAGGCACTCAGAAGTCTCACCTAGCTCTCTTGGGCGGAGGTGCCTTGTTTGCAGACTTTGTTGAAGTAGGAAGTCCTCATAGCTTTTTAAAGCTCTTGCAATCCTTGTCTCAAACTCAGGCCTAGCACATCGGCTGTAGTATTTCGTAGGATTAAAGAATTGAAAATCCACCACAGGTGCCAACATGTCGCATGCTTTCTCCCAGCATTCTTGGCACTTTCGGTCATCCTGTTGCTTGATGATTGCATAGATCTTGGCCACCAGTTCCCAAAGGCTCTTCGCCAGCTCCGGTCGAGACGCTGACGAAACAACCTCTTCGAACCTCGCACGGCTCTTCCGCACATGGGCTACGAGGTCTGGGAAGCAGTCCATTCTTGGCTCCTCAAATGGCACATCCAGTGGAGCTTCTGGTCCTGTGGAGCCAAGTAGAGAAACAGAACTATATATATATATGGAAAAAGAACGGAACTATAGATATGTTTGGATTGTAAAGAGAAGGTGTCCAATTTGGAACCTCTCTTGCACAAAGCAGGAACTAACAAAAAGACAGATCCTCCATGGAATTGGTGAGCGTCTCCCATGGCGCAAAAGAAATGGCATTCCAGTCACGCCTTCTACATACACCAACATGGGGAGCATGATGAAACATGCACCAATCTAAGTCACCTAAGGCTTTTTTTGTTTATAGCTGTGTGTTTCATGTTTGTCTGAGTTGATGAGAGTGCCACTTTTCAGGAGGAGATTGATCTTTTAGTTTGAGGCGTGATCTTTAAGAGACTTGGCTGCTTTAACCACCCAATGGCCATCATGGACTTTGGGCCACGGTGACAAGGCTTGCAGGAAAATACCTGGGGGTCAAAGACAAAAGGACTTGGAGCATGTTGGAGCAAATACCATGCTAATGTCGATAGATACCAGTTTGGAATTCAGACCCTGCAAGCGATTTAGAGCTCCTGAGCTGCAGAATCAGCTACCTGTCTAACAGTTGCATCCTCGAGAATTAAGGGGAAGTCCTCAGCTCACCCAGGAACTATTTCCGGACCCCAGGGAGTTTCAACAGAACAGGGACAAAAGAAAGCTTCATGATCATCATGCTTTCCCTGTCAGCAACATCGCTGAAGAAATTCCTGCCGCACACTACTGGACTAGAAGAACATGGTGTTCGCGCTTCACTCCGTTCTGCAGCACGTACCAGGAGCTGCTGTAGTGAGCAAAGGGCATAGATTGGGCGCTATTCAATGTTAGATTCTTTCGGAACCTTGTAGTAAATGGCTAGACCAACATCAAGGGAAAAAATGATGTCATATCAGAGCAAGATGCACTGTTTAAAGAAGCCATTCATCATCAGCCTAGGGCCAACATGGTCCAACATGGTCAAGCTGCTTCAACCTCCTCCAAACGTTTTGAGCCGAAGGGCCAAAGCCAGCCCAGCCATGCATCCTCTTCGCCCAACAGGGCAGCCAACTCCGCCTGATGGACACCAAAGCGAAAGAGTCGACACCAAAGCGAGCAACAAAGCTACTAGTAGCGTCCGTGCTGCTAGTAGTAGTGGCCTCCACCCTAGTAGCGATGGCCTCCAACCTACTAGCTTCTAGCTACTAGTAGCAAGGACGCCAAGATGTTTTTTCAGAACAAGGACACCTTGGGACACCTTGGTCAAGACCTTGGGTACCATGTGTTGGTCCATCCATGGGTCGGTGTGCACGGAGCTGGTGGATTGGAGCAGGCGTAGCTGCCTGGCTACGCCTGGCACTGCCGACCCGTGGTTCTTTCGGTTTCGATGGGACTCTCATGATTGCAATCTCCCGGTTAATCAAACTACACCAAGGTTGCTGCTGCCCTTACAGGCATCATGACCGTTTCTTGCACCAAATAGTGCTTCCACTACAAGCGACCGATAAACTCTCTGCCCATCATGAACCACCGCTTCTGGCAACCAAAGGACTCTTATCATTGTCAGTGCATATAATATAGCACTACCTGCATGTCATGTCTATATAAATAGATAATGTGCCATTGCATATCAGCAAGCTACATGTATTTGAGGCTGCAACCCACAAGTCCTGAGAGTCTAATGTCGCTGGCCTGAGGGGCGGAAAATCACGGCCCCGAGACAACGCTGTCGCTCACCTTTAATTTGCTTGCTCATTTGCATGTGAGCGCATGACTCAACCTCGCATGCCTGGCAAAACCTGAAAATTCATCCCTTCCTTTGGACTTGTGTGAATGCTGCTTTTGACTTGGTGAACGGGTGTTTTCAACGGGCACCACTAGGTTCCTTCGGTGCGTCCGTGCCTAGCTTCATGGAGCTGTGAAGTTCATGTGCCCTCCAGGCGTCCAAGCTGTCCCTCGAGGCGACGCCAAGCCCAGCGCAAAGCCATGGCCTCTTTCGTTCTTTTTTGACACAGCCAGCTACTTGAACCTCAGCCTAGAGCCTTGGGATGTTCCAACAATAACAGTAACTGGTGTTTAAAATCCAGAAAGGGAAGGAGAAAGGATTCACCAGTTCTTTATGAAGGGACATAACACAAAAGTACGCTCAAGTCTGTGCAAGCCACATTTTATTGGACCCTGATTTGTAAGTGGTACAGTACGGAATAGTAAAGTGTTCCCGAAATATTCATAACCCAGTTGAAATACTGCAACAACGAGTGTTGTTCTCCCAGAGCTATTCTAGTTCCTTTTATCTAAATTACTACTAAAACATATCAAAACTGTGACATTCATGTAGGAAGTCCACAGGTATCCTGGAATTGCACTGCATTAATTTGGAACTGAATTATGTGTTGTGCCCTTTTTGTGAACCGAAACGAGAACCGAATTCGTTGCGTTGCCATCAGCACCACACCGCTCAACCAGAATCACTAATTGCCTTCCTTTGGATCTCCTTCTGGTCCTTTTTCAAAACAATTCGACATGGCACAAATTCATGTTCATGCCCTGGGCCCTGTTCCTTTGAAAAAAGCCCGACCTAACAAAAAGAATTCCTTGTCATGTCCGTGTGGTTCATGCGCCCTCTCACCATAGAACCACCCCAGCAACAGGAGGGGTGGTAGTCTTAACATCATCAAGACCGACATTAAAGCAAATCAAATCAGTCTAATACATTCAAGGAAAGAGCGGATTATTCTGAAATGACATCTGGGAGGTAGACTTTTGCAGCAGGGCAGCACTTATATATACAGTATATAATATATAATCTCTACTGAAGGATTTTGTCAGATGAAAACATACGTTCAAGTTGAAACTCTCATTCTACTACCTCATACCAGTAAGAACTCTGAAGCCTTGCCACCAATTATCTAGCTCCTCGTCTCCTCGCCTGGCCATCGAGGGCCTGGCACACAAGGCATCTGCTTCCATTGACTCCCTTCCCTTGCCAAGAATCACACATGGTACTGTATGTCCTTTATTCCTGTATCAACAAAACCTTGGGCTAAATTTCCAAGCTGAAACTCCACAGACGAGCTGTACGATGTCCAGAGTCAAAGCCGCAACCTCAAGGGCCATTGCAAAGAGCGCAGTATCTGAAACCTAATTTGATTCGTGTGCTGCAAGCTCCAGAGCAGGGTTGGGTTTTCGCTGTTCCTCAAGTTATCATTTGAATAGGTCATGTAGTGCTACAATTGAAGGGCCTTCCAAGCCAACCCTGCTCAACACGTTACATTGGTCAAATTCCACCGGCAGAATCCTGCTAGCTTGCAGCTCATAGGCTGAGAGAAAAGCAAGCATTCTGAGGGTTGATCTGGCAAGAATCTCAAACGAGTGTCTCAGGAAATCATTGGTCTCTAATGACTGCGATGGTCTGAAATGAGCAAAACACCTTTAGATCAATCCTTTTCACGGTCATGTGGATCGACCATCAGCTAATCACGCACTCATGGCAGCCCACGTCGTGCTCTGAATCCTGCCACGGGACCACGGAGGACCCACATGTAGGACTGGGGAGCCGGAAATGTACCAAAACAAATCTCACTTACAACGAGATGCAACTCAGCGAGGTCAAAACAAGGAGTTACTTCATTGGGAGAAGGCAAAAAAAGACCAAGGAGGTCCCAGCGAGACGAGTACGAGGACGAGAGAGCTACATCTGGTAAGCACAGAGAAGGATATGACTCGGCCAAGGTCCATCAACATGAAGTCAATAGAACCGGCAAGGAAACTGACCAGGTGATTGAGGCTGCAGGCGGCAAGGGAACGCCGCAGCAAAGGCAAGAATGGGAACGGTAAATCATGGGAAACACACACAAATTGAGGTGCTTTTTACTCAATCAAGTTTCCAGCTAGGAAGTCAGCAGGCAGCTGAAGCTGCTCATGCTGCCTCTCTGGAGTTTGCCGAGTTTCAACACAAGCAGGGTTCAATCGCGAGCTCAAATCTCAAGTCACATGCTTGTAACCCAAGACAAAGACATGGGACTCTCTATCCTTAGAATAAACAGCCTCTGGCTTGCGAGGGAGTTTTGCAGAACCCCACATTTCAGAATCGATTGACTCGTTTTCTGTGCAGAGACTTGTGTTCTCAAACCAACTTCTTTTTGCAGAGAAGTAACGCTGCAATCGCTGTCGTCGCAGAACTTGCGATGGGCCTGGCAAAGGAGTCGCTGACCATCAATGTCAATGGCATCGGCTTCTATTCGGTTGAAGGAGGGCTCTTGTAAGAGGTTGCAATTTACAAGAACTCCAGACCAAAACTAAAACCTTTAAAAATGCATTCTTGTACAAAAGGAGTGGTGTTCTTGAAGGGATATAATATACGCACCTACGGCTTTGGACAAGATCTGATTCTGATTGAAAAAAGTAACAGGTTCTCAGTTCTCACAGCTATGGTGTCTCCTCTTGGGTCTTCTTCGGACAAGCACGTGGCATTTGCTGATCCTTCAACATCAAGGTGGATGCGGAAACTCCAGCCTGCTTTTTCCCAGTCTCATCCCAGGCATCGAACTTCGCAGAGATCTTAAGACAAAGTGCGAATTCACAAGTGTTGGCTCTGGAGTCTCACCACTAGGTCTGTACCTCTAAATGTCATCAAATGTCCACGTATCACGTCACGTTGCTTTTTTGGAAAAAAAGAACAAACGTCAAAGTGGATACTCCACTTCAACGTGCTTTTGCTTCAACACGTGGGACTGACCCCGTTGGTGGCCGTCGCTCATGCTCCGCATCGCATCGAAACGCGCTGGGAGGCGGACTGGTCCCAACATGGCCTTCATCAGCCAATCCCCGCGCGTGAACTGTGACCTGGTCCGCGCCTGACAGCTTGGCGTAGCTACTTGGTCGGTGTTCTGTTTCAGTGTTTGAAGGTGTCCAAGTTTTAAAAAATGCACAGCGCAACGTTCGTGATGATGATGATGATTATTATTTATGATGATGGTTGTGTTTTCAAGATTGGGTGGACGTACATCAAATAAAATGTGTGTGTACGCTACAAACGCGGCAATCTATACTTCTTGAAAAAGTCGATTGTAGGCGCTTGAGGTTCCTGGAATTTTCGCGGAGACCTATCACCCTCTATGCCTGTGAGGCGAACGGGGTTTTCAAGAACCTGCAGTGGTTTGCACATGTATGCGGAGGAAATATGCATGTACACTAATTATATACTGGTTGTTCACTTATTACTCAAGAAGCGGACTTATTAACATGTTGGAGACAAGGTCGCAAACAGCTTCCAATAGTCCAACCTTCTTGATGACCTCCAACATCTCGCTGTAATAGTCATCTGTCACATCAACCTCATTCCATGAAAGAAGATCTGACCAGGAACACCTGTGCTTTCGCGGACAACCTCACGTCTCGTGATCAGCTTGGTGCCAGGACATTGCGGAACCTCTCGTCGATGTCATTCAAGTAGCCAACGGCGTCCTCGTCTGCGGTGCAGGCCATAATCTGCACCTGATCAAAGCAATGAAACATGGTTGCCACGAACTCTGTAAATGTGTTGCGTGTATGTGAGCTGTCAAAAAATGTCAAAAACTGACTGCGTTCTAATCAGCTGGCGTTCATGCGGCGCGAATGGACGGGCACTCGCGGTGTCGTTCTCGTTGAACACACGGTCCTTTATCCTTCTACCCGCAACTCGTCACGTTGGGCATTCATAGCATAACGGCACCTTTCCTTGCAAACAACACAAAAAGACAACCCCAACCTGCGCGTCGGCATTAGGAAGCTGGTCATGTACGCGCTGATTCACGATATTCAATGAGCTTGAATCAGCAAGGCTCCCGCTGGCATCAGGTTCCTCTCCAGACTACTACGATACGAGGATCGACAAAGCGGGTCTACAGGAAGAAAGAGAGCCCTGCGGCTGGTAACCTTAAGCCGCACCTTTTCTAACATGGCACACCTTTTCTTGAGCCGTGGGCACGGGGTAAGTGCACATGTCGTACGAGCTCCACTTCTCGGACCCGGGTCCAGGTCCCGCAGCCCCACCTGGCCTTGAACTTGGTGTTCGTTGTCTTTTGTGTGACCAGGCCTCAATCACGCAGAAACAACTGAAGGAGATTTGGGGTGTTGACCTAGTGCGCGCTGGATCTTCTTGGGCTGCCATTTCAGGGATGGCCACCAATGACTTCAAACTGTCACCAAGTTTGGACGCTGAAGACCCAAAAAGAACAGTGCGCCAATGGTCTTTCTTTGCTCGACTCTTTTTTGGAACATGGATGGCACGAGCTGAATTCCAGTAGCAAGAAGCTAGTAGTAGTTCCTGGCATTACTACTAGGAACAAGAAGCTACTAGTAACTAGGGCATGGCTACGTACTAGTAGCAATTAAGTTTAGTTTAGTCTTTGGCCGAAGAGCGTTTGAGCTCCTTTTCAAACTTCCTGACGCCACCATTGGGTTCACCATCCTTAGCACCAAGGTTGGAGCAGTCAGAACAAGCGGATCGTTCCAGACAGGTTGAATCCTGAATATGCCTTGCTGAATCAAATTGAACAATCCAAAAGAATTGAAAGCTCGTCGGAGAAGTTTGAAATACACTTCTTGCAGGAGGGCTGCAGTGAAGATAAAGAGCAAAATAGGCCTTTCACCTCCGAGGCAAAACTGGACCAGAAGGTCAGCAGGGTTCATTGGGCCACCACTAATGGGACCCCCACAGCTTGCAAGCCTCTTGCTTCAAATAGCACTTCACGTGTATTCTGACCTATTTTACGCAAGTTAGTGCAATGGTGACATGCCTATTCGCGAAAGCCATTTATACCTGTTGTCTCGGTGAGCAACCACGGGGCAGCCGAAGAATGCGACGGCCCCGCACCATCGCAGTGTAACGCCACCGTGCTGAGGGACTCGGTTAAAGGGGTGGAGCCCCGCGGTGGAGCTGCGAAGCTGGCGACCAAGCGTGGGTCTGAGGCGCTCCTGGGACAAGGCCGAATGGAAGGACAGGACTGGAAGCTTCTTGCTACTAGTAGAAATGCTCTTGTTACTATATATAATATATTGAGTAGCTTCTTGTTCTTAGGTCCTAGTAGTAACGCCAGGAGCTACTAGTAGCTTCTTGTTACTAGTAGAAGTGCCCTTGT